CTGTTGCCTCTTCATCAGTAAACATCATCTGGCACTTTCTGCATATAAATTCATGCTTGACAAATGGAACAATGCAATTGTCTGAAAAGTCTGCACTTTTTGGGTGTGTTTGGGATTCTTCTTTTGTGCTTTCTGTGGCAGGACTCTTTTCTTCCTTCTTTTCCAACTCTTCATTTGACTTTTGCTGTTGTTCATTTTCTATGTTAGGCGAGTTTACTTGTGGAGGTTTTTGCTCTTGATGTGGCGGCATCTGCTGCTGCTGCTGCTGTTTTTTTTGTTGTTTTTGTAGCGAATCCTGTAGGCTCTGCTGATATTGTTGGTATTGTTGTAACAATGCACCAGGTGATAAACCAGCAATGGCTTGAGGCACTGCTGGACCATATGGGAAGAGGCTTTCCATCCCACATAATGGGGGGAGATAACCACCTTGCATTGTTCCATGAAGCTGGGGAGTGAAGTATGAAGCAAAGCCAGGAATAAAATATGGCAAGAACTGCCCACCTATAAAAGAAGCTGGGTCACCAGAGACAGCATTTTGAAGTGCTTGCAAATGAGCATGGTCCACAGATGTTTCAGCTTTGCCCAACATGGAAAGAGCAGATGAGATTTTTTCCTCTTTTTTAGATTGCCTAACTTCAGATTTTGCAGCCTCTGATTCCTCCTCTTTGATCTTTTTGAATTTTTGTCGCTTAAGATTTTTTTCCAAGTCTTTGTTTTGGTGATCTGTCTGCTGTCCTGACAAACAGGATGATGACGAGGATGGATGGGGTGGCGGAGGATGTGGTGGTGGGGGAGTCTGCAGCAAAGATTTAGTGGGTGCACTGCTAAGAGAGAGGGCAGGAGATGGAGTAGCTGAAGTAGGGAACCCAAGCATGCTGGCACCAGGAGATGTCAAATCTGAAAAGTCAAAAAGAGACAGTATTTATAACATGTTTATGGATATCATTGGTATTCAGTCTAGCCTTATGAACACGAAGCAATTATAGCAATCAATAAACCAAATAAAACTTGCTTTTGGCCACATGGTATTAGTGTAAAACTCAACTAATCTATAAGGAATATTATAGTACAGTTCAATACTTAATTAGAAGTGTGGACTTGGACATGATAAAGGATACACGTTTAGCAGCTATGGCAGTTAGGCCTGCTGTAATCTTTTCTATGTTTTTAAGGTAAAAAAACTTATGAAGAAGTTGAAAAAAAGCAAGGGATGGTCTAATTTTCTGTCCTTTTTCCAGTGTCTGTTCTATGTTAAAATCAAATATAAGCTTTTGCAAGACCTTTTCTGTCTGCCATCTCCTAGGTTTCAACAGAAATTAAGTGAAAGACAGTACAAAAATAACTGAATACATGTAGTCTGAATCTTAACTCTAGGCATACAGATCAAATATATAAGGGAGCTTGTTCTCCCAAAAAAAGATATGAATGTCTGTCCATTCAGTCTTGTACCCCACTGCACAGCCCTGTCTAGCAGGGAAGGAGACTTAATATTTATCTGCTTCAGTTTAACTTTCACTTACAGATTACAGATCCCCCCTCTATCCTCACCCAGTAACTGTAAAGGAGGAAGCAGCACATTGATGAGTTCATCTCTCTTTCACTCTGCTCTCTCCTACTATCAACATGCTCCTTGACAAATAATTGCGTTCTCATGCATATTTCACCTTACCCTCTCTGAGTTTTGCAGACTGTACAGTACACTGCAAAAGGCTTCTACCAAGCCAAATTCATGTACTTATACTACGCGCATTTAAAAACCTACATGTAATATTGTATTAATGTTTACAAAATTGCACTAATATCTTTCTTTTATACCTGCCTGGTGTTTAGCTGTATTGCTCAGTGTTTATGTAAGTAATTCTGTTTCAGTACTAGCTTTCTAAGCTGCTTTTATAATTGTTACTACAATTAGTTGGGGATAACAGATATTCTATTTTACAATACAAAATAGTTTTTATTTTACATATATAGTATTTGAGCGTTTCTTATGGAGTAAACTAAGTATGTCAGCTCTAAATTCCAGGCTAAACCATGCCAAAATAAATATTACTAGACAAAAACCACCTGATTTGCACAAGACTACATTCACTGTGAATTACCCATAGGATCTGGTGTTGGACTGGATCACATTTTTTAATGAAACATGTACTGGAAGAAATATGTAGGCTGCCATTTCTAAACTTCTGACAATGCTAGTTGCTTGGCTAGTTGCTTGACATGGAACAAGCATCTAGCAAGTAAGGTGAAAACTCCTAATCTGCACACTCTCTGATGCAATGACTTAGAAGGTATTCTGAGAATCAGCATGGCATCAACAATAGCAGCCTCCATATTTATTTTAGGTACACTTCAAAGTTTTGTTCTTTTCCCCTTATATCATAACATAGCTAATAATCTACCTTTGACCCAAATTACACTAATTTACAGATCAAATAAAATAAGTAAGAATAAACATTATTATTGAACTGTTTAATTAAAAAATATTAATAGTATATAGCCTTTTTATAAAGCTGCTGAATTTATTTATGATCACATTCATATTACCAAAGCAGAATCAAATATTATGATTCACACTTACTGTTTGCACTCTGTGTAAACCCAGGCAATGGAGATGGGCTGTTCATCCCAGGAAGGAGAACTGAAGGAAGGCCAGGTAGCCCTTGGTAAGATGCTGACAGATTGAGACCGTGAAGAGGACTGCTGCTCTCCATCATACTTGACTGTTGAACAGTTAATCCCAAAACATCTGAAGCCTTCTTTATCCGATCCAGTTCTTGTTGTGCCATCAGTTGTCGAACAGTAGTAGGGGCCAAATAGTCCTTCTCACGATCAAGCTGGCTTCCCACTGTTTCTCTCACCTTTAATATGTGTTGCTTTGAAAATATATGATCTCGAATGGATAAGCGTGCTGAATATTTCACCCCACAAAGAGAACACTCAAGTTTGGTTCCATCTGGCCCAGTTTGGTTAATCATGAAAGGCTTCCCTATGTTTATTTTGAATTTCTTCTCTTTTGCCCGTGCATTTTGAAACCAAACTTGGACAACACGTTTGGGAAGACCAATCTCATTGCCCAGTATTTCACATTCTTGCATTGTTGGAGTTCTATAATCACAAAAGCAAGCTTTGAGAACTTTTAGCTGAACATTACTCATTTGAGTTCTAAAGCGTTTATGACCTGGTCGGTCATTATTTTTGGCTTTGAAGAGGCTGCTGCTACTGAAAGAGTTTGGTGAGCTGGGATCTGGATCTGCAATACTAGATGTTTCACTGCGGTCAGCATTGTCCTCATACTCATCAGTCATGTATATACTTTGGTCATGATCGCTTTCTCTGTCCATGTTATTGTGTGATGTATTTGACAGAGAAAAGAAGAAACTCTCATCACAGTTATCAATTGTGGGAGTAGTTCCTGTTTTTGGCAAACTATCATTCATTTGAATTTTTGGTTCTTTGGGAGTTCTTACATATTTAGAGCTAACAGTCATGGTTTCTATATCATTGTTTCCTTCATCCCCTGTTGTAGCATCACTAATTGCTGTGTTAATTGATGATGTTTCATCAAAGTCATTTTTGCTTTGATCAAACCTTTCCACAGAAGGTTGATGCAAATTCTCTATGTCTTCATTGCATTCTGCCCTAAAAGATGATGGGCTTAAAAGATTCTTCGGTGATAGCTCAGCAGTTTTGCTTACTGGTGTGGAAACAGTAGAAGGCATATCATTTTCACTTAACTGGTCATTCTTTGGAAGTGTAGGATAATCAAAAAACATATATTTGTTTGGGCTTTCACCACCATCATCCATACCAGCAAGAGGACTTGGTGGCAAACTATAACCAGCATGTTTTCCCTCATTCCAATGCCGAGACCTAATATGACTTTCTAATGCTGACTTTGCTTTAAATAGTGCACGGCAAAATGGGCATCTTTTATGAGACTGAGCTGGACCAACAGCTCTGAACTGACCTTTTCTTTCTCTGGCTCTTGTATTCTGAAACCAAACTTGCACCACTCTTTTTTTTAGGCCCACCTCTCTAGCAATATGATCAAGCATCTTTCGCGTTGGATTAGAATCCAACAGATATTTTTCATAAAGTATTTCTAGTTGTTCTGGGGTAATAGTGGTTCTTAATCGTTTATCTCGATGTTGATCCTCACCACTATTGCCACCCTCCTTCTCACTGCAGTTATTATCATCCTTGTCATCCATTTTCCTTTTTAGGGAAGTGGAAACAGATGTGGCTCCATGTGGTCCACCAGCTTGTGGAGGCATGTGAGACATGGAACTACCAAGTAACTGCCCTGCCATAAGAGGATTGTTAGGATCAAAAATCATATATGGCATGTCCATGGGCCTTTCTAAAAACTGTGAGTGAAGAAATTGATTTTGGGCAGCTAAGAAATGCATGTGTTGGTGCTCCTGCCACAGTTCCAATGTTGGAAAAGCCACTGTACATTGATCACATTGGTATTGCAGCAGCTGAGGAGGTAGGCTGTTTGGCAATGAAGTCAGAGATATTGGCAGCGGGCTAGATGGAACAGGAGTGGTTCGTGATGCAGACGAAGGTCTTGCAATTTGCTGAGACTGCCTTTGCTGAGATACAGATATTGATGGTGAAGGCTGTGCTTCAGATGATGTAGAACTGGACTGAATTAATTTGGAGGCTAATGAGCTAGCAATAGCATCAATTTGCTTTGGTTTTTCAGTTTGCACATCAGGTTTTGGCGAAGTTTTACCAAACTCTGGTCTTGGAGATGGAATTAATGGTGTACTTGAGCCTGACCCAGAGCTTACTGTTGTTATAGTTGAAGCTTTTGATATCTCTGCTTGACTGGATGCCTTTGGCAAGATTTGATCTGTAGCATCCATTGAATCTTCAGTTTGGCTTTCATCTTGAATATCATCATCTTCATCTTTATAACACAGCTTTTTCTGATGTGTAATTAAGTCAAAAATTCTGGGAAATACAACATTGCATTTCTTACACTGATATTGCATGTTGCTAGTACGGATATAGCGCTCATTGGTTAGCTCTCTCTTTTCACTGTCTTTCGCTTCAGCTTGATTTTCATAACATTTTCTAGCTTTTTGACGGGCATTTTGGAACCAAACAACAATAACCCGAGTTGCTAAGTTAAGAACAGTAGATAATTGTTCTATTTCATCATCCTTTGGGTATGCATTAGTGTCAAAAAAGTCCTGTAAAACTCTAAGCTGATAGTCCGTAAACCTGGTTCTTGATGACCTTTTGCTAAAAGCGGAGTCTGACCTATGATCTATTGAAGGTAGTGGTGGCTCAATTCTTATATCCTCAAGAACAGTTATAGGGGGATTACTGAAATTGTATGGTGAATCTTTGTTTCTTTGACGTTCCTTAAATAAAGTGTTTCTAAACCAGTGTTTGATAACTTTCAAGGAAAGACCTGATTTTTCAGCCATCTCCTGTATCTGATCCTCATTAGGAGAATTATTAATGTCAAAATAGGCACGTAGTATCTTCAGCTGGTCATCTGTTATTCTTGTACGTGGGCGTTTAAACTGGGAATGTCGCAGGAAATTTGGATCTAAGCCCAACTGTTGCTGGCACATCTGTGTAAGATCTGCAGATAAAGCATCCATTGGAGAAAGCTGCAGTGCAAGTTGTGGAGGTAAAGCTGGATGTTGAACAGACTGCATCATAATTTGTGGGAAGAGGGGAAGATCCAGGTGGTGGAGGGGGGGGGGGGGGGGGGGGGGGGGAGGGTGGTGGAGGAGGTGGAGGAGTTGGTGGTGGAGCTTGCAGTGGTGTAGGAGTTGAACTTGGAATCTTCACTGGTACAGATGGAGTAAGTGGGGGTGGAGGTGGAGCCGGTGTTGGAGGTGCAGAAGGAGGTGGAGGAGGTGGTGGTGGGGGTGGTGGAGGGGTTTCAGGAGAAGGTGGTGCAATTTCTAGGAGAGCTTTTGCTGCATTTCCTCTAGCACCAGAAGCAATACGAGGTGGTGGAATACTAGGTTCTGATGATCTTTGCTTCTTTACATCTTTGCTGTCTTTAGAAGTATCATTTTCATTTGCAACATCTTGCTTTGGCTTTTCTTGCTTTTCAGTGACTTCCTCAGATTCTTTGTAACATGATGGATCCTTTGTAAGTGAGCATTCAGTACTCGACACACTAACATTGCTTTGCTCTTGTTTCATTATCCTGTTGGAATGGTATTGTTTTTGTGGTTGATGCTGAGATTGAGTAGCTTGATACTGCTGTGCCTGCTGCTGTGCTTGCTGTTGTAACATTTGTAGCTGGGTTTGCCCAACCTGATGTTGTGTTTGAATTTGAAGCTTTAAATCTTCAAGCAATGATCCTGCCATACCAGGCATTCCAAATGCAGCAGAGGCAGGTAGTCCTAAATCAGGATTTAGACTAAACTCTGTCCCAGGAATATAAAATGGGAAAAGAAACTGTGGCTGCTGGAACTGAACAAGAGCCTCTGGAGTCATTGGAAAGTGAGGAAGAAATGCTGGGTTTAAAAACTGGGGCTGAAAGAATGCAGCTTGTTGTTGCAGTTCATGCTGCAGTTGCATTTGAAGCTGTGCTGGTGACTGTGGTGGGTGATGTAGAGGTTGGGTAGGAATAACCTCTGGAGCTTGCTTTTTGTTTATTTCTTTGGCATCTAGGTGGGGTTCTTTGTGGTTTACATGTGGCAAACTCATAGAATCAAGCATCCCTTGGCTTGGGCTGCTAATATTCCCTGCTATGGTACTTCCACTAGTATTGTTACTACTTGGTTCTAGTTTTGCAGCCCTTGCCTTAGTTTGGTGAAGAACGGATCTCATATGAATCTCCAATGTAGAGCTTTGGCTGTATGCAACATTGCAAATGCTGCACTTGTATGGTTTGTTGTCAGTGCTGCTGTTGGTCTCTTGAGGAACTGGACTTGATGCTTCTTGCAAGACCTTTTTAAGTTTATGTAAATGAGACACAGAATTATAATGGACCAAAAGAATGTTCTTTTGAGTGAAGGATTCTTTACACACTGTACATTTATATGGTCGTGACGGATCTAAAAATTTTTCCATAGTAAAATTTGGCCCTTTTCTAAAAGGCAAAGTCCGCTTTGGTTCTGTGCCCAAGTCATCTGGAATGGAGCTACTGTCACTCCCAACTGGGCTAGCCTTTCCTTCATGGTCCATCTCATAATCACGCTCATTGTCCTGCTCCAGGGAGTGCTCATCTGGGGCTATGCTTTCATTTTCAGCCCAGAGCTCCCCATTTACAGGTAAGGATGCACAAAGCTGCTGTATTTCAGTCTCACTTAGCTCAGGGTGGCCTGTTTCCAAATGTTTTTTTAAAGCCAGGAATGTACGGAAGCTGCGTTGGCAAAGGCTGCACATGGTGGCAGCCCGGATAGCATGATACTGGGAATGTATCTGAAGCTTCTGCATAGTCTTAAAAGCCAAACTACAGTGGGTACAGCGGTATTTATAAACATGGCGATCAGAAACAGAAAGCTGCTGCCTCTTCTGCTGTTCACTTAATTGATCAGTTAGTAACTCGCAGTGCTTTGCATCTTTGTTGATGGATTTGTTCCATTCTGGGGTATCTAATGATTCCCTAGACATGTTTTGCTCTTCTGTTTTAATATCAGCTCCAGCCTTTAAATCTTCTCCACCTTGGATGATTTTTTCCTCTGTTGGGGGGTCACCTAGTTGAAAAAAGAAAAAAAAATTAGCATAAAATTTGTGCTAATGCTTTTTGTTCTCATTTGTATGGACATAAAATTTTTATGTGGATAAGCATTGTAGGATTTCTTTTTCATGTGATCAGCAACAAAGAACAAGCATGTAATACAATAAAATTAAAAGGCAGAATCTGCTGTACAAGCTCTTATGAGCCACGTTGCTGTAGCCATTAGAATATGGAAAAATGATACAACTGATATCGTTAGAAGACGGCTGGAGACTGGAGGTCTGCAAAAATAATTCATCTTTCTGCTCTCCAGATTCATGTATTAATGTAAATATCCATGGAAGCTGTACAATATAGAACAATTGTGCTGCTTTGCTTGTATGTTCTGTTTTATTTGAAACCCAGACATATTTTTGGTAACTACTTTTTTACAAAGCTATTGAAAGGTTAATCTAGACAATGATTATGTTTCAATCTATGAACTATACAATCTATGATGTTTCAGCTTGGGGAGATGCTGTAACAGCTTGACTCATCTACCATCTCTCTCTATTGGTAAGAGCTTGGTACCTGAGATTGCAAATCTTTCCTTCTTGGCTCTTGGGAGGAGGTCTTACTGTTGGGTAATTAATTTTATGTTAGCCTTTACAAAGCGCATTTCAATAGTTGCCTGGACTCACCTGTGAGTTTCCCAGATGAATCAGTGGTTGCAGCTGCAGGCTTCTCTGCTTCCATCTTGTCAAGTGCAGCCGGTGGCAGCAATATACTGTTTGGCATCACAACCTCTGGCACTGAAATCTGAAATGTGCAAGAACCATTAATCACCACATAAAAGGCACCAATGTCATACATTTCATCATTCAATCATACACAATCTGCTGGACAGTATCTGGGGGCAATTAGCATTTCTGCAATTCAGAGATAGAGTTCAGGGATCACTTTCCATTAAAAACACAATAAGCACTCTTTTTTTATGCTCTCTGTATATATACAAAGGTTTCCTTTGGTTGCTCCTCTATAAACCCACAGGCCAAAAATGTAGTAATAGGCTAATGTGTGTACCTGCAGCGACAGCGTGTGTCAGTGCTGGGCCAATCATAGCCCTGTGTATGCTATGACCCTGGCAACTTGCAACTTACACACCTCTTTTTTCTCCAATGACTAAAGAAATGAGAACAAAAGGGAGGTAAATATATGCTGCAGGGTTGGTCTGTATTAAAGTGAACCTGTTGCTCTGCTCTAAATGAACAATACACCCGTTCACTTTAAAGCAGACCTTCCAGTACAAGGTCCACATATAACATTTGGCCCCCTCCTCCTGTAGAAATGGCTGGCATAACTATCCTTCAGAAATATATCCCAAATATTGTGAGAAGGCACTCCAGTCCAGTTTAAGAGTGCCTTCTTACAAATTTTGAGCTGATCTGTGTTCTCCAGGATCCAGGAAAAAGGTGTCACCTTCGGCCTAGATGTTGCAAGCAGAAGACAGGGTAAGGTAAGTATAAAGCCTAACTTTATTCTTTTTAAGTACAGAAATAGTTTACCGGGGAGGGTCTATGGACCTTTTATATTACCACAAGGTCTGCTTTAGGTACACAATCAACAATAGTCTTGATTTGGGAAGGGCTTTTGAAGAGAAGTCCCTAATTTTCAGGCTTACAGTGAAGGATTTAGAGAACAGGGCAATGCAATGGGCATTAGTACTTAGCACTTAGTAAAAAGGTGTCCATATTGTTCCAAATTTGTGTCTAGTCATTGGGTGGGAAATCTAGAGAGTCTGTCTTAAGAGGTGTTCAGCCAATTCAAGATTTAGGTAACAAAATATTTAGTTATTTCCATTTTATCTTTTTTCATTGACTTACTGTCATGAGGAGCTTTTCTACACAGTCTGGAGACACACTGTGCAAATGAGTCAAGTGCAGCTGGAGATGCATTTTGTTACTGAGAACATCTTGGCAGAGAGGGCAGGAAATCACAGGCTGCACGGAATGCTGGGAGATGATGTGCATTTGAATCCGGTTGGAGTCTTTGCTGCTGTAGTTGCAGTAGGGACACTGATAGCACTGTCAAAAAAAAGCATAACCAATTGTAAAATCCTTTAATAAACAGAATTACGAGCCCTCCATTTGTTCTGTTATTTATATGTTTATACTCTGCCATATCCATACCTGTTCTTGGAAAACACTATTTTCCTCAGCAGTTCTTGATCTCTTAGCTGCACCATCCTCTTCTTTACTTTGTATTAACTGCCGCTTTACAGTGGTAGAATTCAGAAGAAACTCTTTGTCAGGTGAGTGAGTTCCAGAACCTAAAATATATTTGAAAAAAATAATACCT